AGAGACGAGACAGGTGGCTTTCGAAGGAGCGAGAAAATGATTACATCATCCAGATAGCAGAGGCAGGTCGACCATTTGAAACCGCGAAGAAGAGAGTCCATCATACGTTCGAAAGTAGCCGGGGCCTGCACAACAGCGACAGCACCAGTTATGGCCAGGACGACTCAATAAAACAAAACAGAAAAAATGTTTTATATGCCTTTGCTATGGCGACCAACGTGGTCGTCAGCAATGCCATCATTCGCAGCACGTCGACTGTTCGCGCTTCCAGCTCTAGGTGCTTCATGCCATAGCCACGTTTGCTGATAGGAAGTCTATCTTTCCCGCGAAGCGTTGGTGGCTACGGCAACACATTTTTGTCTAGAAGTTGCACCATTCTGCCAATAGGTATCCGCTGCAGTCAGCGAACTGATGGGCACGTGGCTTTGTTACTGTAACTGGTTGATCGCGTCTGGCGAGTGCCCTCACCTGATGGGAATATATCCGACATTGTGGTTTAAGATTAGGGTCAGGGCGCTTGGATTGATTGATGATGCAAAACTGCAGATGACCAATGTGGCCTTTATGTCTTGCTGAAATTAGCACAACTGAGATAATTTTGAGGCTGGTCTGGCATTTTGGCTCAGAAATGGGGATTTGCATACCTGCCAAGTTTGGAGAAACGCAATCCGAGAAATCTACTTAACAAGGGGGGGGGGGGTGCAGTATACAACATGTCGTCCATGAGGGGGGAGGTATTGCGATAGCAGTTAATTATATGAACACTGTCAGCGACATTTTGCAGTTGCCTCTGATCTGTACAGAGTCCAACACTGTCAGCGACATTTTGCGGTTGCCTCTGATCTGTACAGAGTCCAAACTGATGACATCACTTACGCATCGTTCATCTGTTTTACGTGCGAGTAAAAGCTAGCGCTAGGGACCAACACGGCTGAAACAGAGATTAAACTACCCAGTGGTCACCGTCGCGCGAAGGGCATATGCAATAACATCGCTCCGCGTGCGAGGCCTGTCACCGCTTGCTTAGGAGTTATTTTGTTGGGCAAAGGACCATGGTACAGTCCTGCCGACCACTCGCCTTCCCCCAGCTCGCGGAAAAAAAACAGGCAGTGTTGAGCACTCTTTTGGCAACCCTTGTGGAGTAAAAAACCAAGAATGTTGAAGGAAAAGGTGAGGATGTAGGGGAGGAGCCCTCAATAAGGGAGTTGGGGATAAAAGAGACAGTGAGGAGAAAACAGTGGGATTAAAAAAAAGAAAAAACATTTTAAAAAAGGTTCCAAGAACTGGGGAACTTTGTGGAAGCAGGGTTCAGCTTAGCTCCTTCATGCAGAGGGGAAAGGGGTCGCATAAAGGAAAGGTACAGAAAGTGTGTGGAGAGGTGTGGGCCTTCCATAGAGGTGGGCAAGAGTGAAGGTCCCTCCCAGCATCCCACCCCTGCTTCACCCCCCTTCCCTTTTTTGTCCACTGGGAGTCCCTGTGTCACTCATTATGTCAATGTAGAGGGCTGACTGCTGGCTGCAATAGAACAGCCACAAAGAGTTGTAAACAAGCAAGCCCAGAGGGGCTCCCTTCTTGCTCTTTCTGGTGTGGGAATACTGGCACATTTAATAGCCAGCAAAAGCATCAGCTGTAAACAGGGTCACTGCCCTCCCTCTGCTACAATGGATTTTTTTTTAGTTAATGTGCATGACCTTCAAGAACTGCAGTGCACAGCCATGCGCGATTTCACTGCTCCTACTCGGCAGGCTGCATGTTCTGGCGCTATTTTCGCCTCTCGAAAACGTACATTGAACAGAGTTGAACCTTGCTACCATCGCTAAAAAAAAAAGAATTCTTTTTACTACATGGCCAGACAATTTGCTTAAGTGGCCAGAAAAAGCACTGGATGCGCGAGGCAAAACTGGATTTCCGGCAGATTTTCCTATGACCCGTACAACCGGGAGTATCCCGGGTAATTTGGGAGACTTTGCAGGTATGGATTTGTATCAAATTGGCACAGCTGTTGCACCCTGAGCATGAGAAAGACTGTCAGCTGGAGACTCGAAATGAGCTAGGAAAAGACATGCTTCAGCTTGCACGAAAGATCATGTCGATTCAAAAGAGGTAAAATTACCAGACTACCGAGCCTGGTAATTTCAGACACTAAATGTTTCTTTGTCACAAGGACATTGGGCTAAAATCTGCAAGGACATTTTTTTTCCAAACACGATTTTTGGAAGCCTCCATATACGCGATAGCTTCCCTTATAACAAATATTTTCACAAACAATTTCTGAGAGGTTTCTATATATGGGCAACTGTGGATTCATGCAGAATTTAAAATGCAGCACCTTTATGTACTCTGACCGATTCTGTGCCACACAACTGCCAAATATCAACTTCACCAGTCTTTTTATGATACACTTTTTCTCGAAGGTGGTGATCTACCTTAAATTGTCTTCCTGCAGACTGCACGTTGCCATCTAACGATCATGTCTGTACTAACATTACTTAGACTGTCTGTGCACAGAAAAAGCAGTGAAAATTCCTGCGTACTTGCCTATTATATAGGTTTGTGAACATATCATTCACCCAGGGAATAAGTGGCACCTCTTTGCTTGCACTTCAAGAACGGTGTTACCCCATTGTCTTCAGCACAGCACCCCAGACACGAATATGAGCAAGCGTGTTGGGTATCCAGATTCTACGGAAGCCATTTAACTGGGTAGTTGTAATGAATGGAATAGGGACTAGATATACTCAGTGCATTCCACATAAATGCATGTGTGACGGTTTTCCCGGCTACCTAGCTGTGGGTTGACTGAACAGGCAGATTTTCACTCGTGGTTCACATAGCATATGTTCCACTTGCAAGAGAATTTCAGGACTAAAACCACTGCGATTCATGATCTTTGACTTCCCATGTCAGCTTTAGCAAATGTTATCATTGTAACTTGTGGGAATTGAGGCTAGCCCGCTGTCTTTGTGCGGGCTTTGCGCCTTTTTGCCGTTCTCATGTCCCGACATGATTTCCCCTCCTCCGCTATCTGCAACGCTGGGAGAGCAAGGAGTGACGTTTAACCCCTCTCACACAGTAGGGGATGTTAACTGTGGCGCCGCGCGCGGTCTCCCGAGAGGTTTTATGCTAGTGCGTCGGGAGTCAGGTTCTCCGGGACAGCTTACGGTGAGCACGCATTCCATTTTCCGTCCGTCGACTCCCGTTGTTTGGGGCTCGCCGGACTTCACTGGCGGCCCCAGCGAATTTTGTTGCCCCTTTGCGTACACTCAGCCGAAGGGCAGTACGGTGTCCTAGTGCGTGGCCCAGCTACGCCAACCTGTCTCCCTCCGAGGGCAACGCGAGCGCCTTTGCCCTCGCTCGAGCAACCGGCCTTGCTCCCGGTGTCTCTGTATCACTTTTACCATGGCGACGTTCTCGTGGCACCCTGTGTAGTACTTTTTGTCCGTGGCGTGGATAAGCCCATTGCTTTCCCGCCACGATTTTGCAACAGGCTGTACTGCATTTTGGTGTTGCCACAGACAAAGTGCTGCGACCTTGAGTAGCACTGTGTCTCGCCACGGCGACTGTTAACACGTGCCCTGCGGCTCGCTAAGACCGGACTCGCGCTAGTGGCCGTACTCCTTCGAGATACGTGTCAGTACAAACTTCAAATCGTTACCAGCAATGGCAGCAGCCATGGTCAACACTAACACTCCTCGAGGTTGACTAGTACAAACCCTAGCAGAGTGTTCTTATATCTAGTGAACGGGGCTTACTACCAGAAACAATCAGAAACAATATTACTAGGGTACCAACCTAAATTATTGAATATACTCACCTTCTATGTACCTGTGACCAATGTGCTCATTGTGTCGCTGCAGGCCTATCTCAATGTCTTGCTCGCTTTCTAGCTCAATATATGCTTCACCACTTGGTCTGCCTTCTCTTGAAAGTGTCATGTGCACTCCATTAATGCCTCCTTTGATGTGACACTCTGCAGAAGCAGAAAATATGAACTTCACATGTGAATGGGACTCGCCAGCACACACGAGACTTGAGAATTTCTTAATCATGCTCCTAAACCTACATACACTGGTGTACTTTGCATTTCGCAATAAGTTAAATGCAGCAGACGCTCGTGATCAGAACCCCCCCGCAACACAACAGTCGGTCGGCCACCACAGCAGGAGCAAAGTGAACACAAAATAAATTTTTAAAAACCTGCATGGCAATTATACACTTAATGGTTTAGTGGTTTTATCAACCTGAAGTCATAAGTTACCTACAGATACTCTCGAAACTCATAACGTTCAACATCACTGTCCCACCAACCAAACAGTAGGGAGATTTAGAATAGCGCACTTGGAGCCCTTGCGGTGCGGTCTATGCCACTGCGCATGCGTCGTAACGCGAGTCGGCATTCGCGGACCGCACGCAGAAAATCCGAAATTGCGTGCGGCGATCGCGGCCCGCAAGCGCTGGTTTCGAAGCTACGGTGTCACTGCGATCGTGCGTTGCGGTTTGCAGCAGGGCAGACGTTCTTCTAAAACTCATGGCGCCCGCTACGCTCGCAACGCTTGCAAACGGTATTCGAAATCGAAAACTCCCCAGTAAGAGGATTTTAGAATCGCGCACCGCATACTCTTGCGGTGCGGTCACTGCCACTGCGCATGCGTTGTAAGGCGAGCCGCCGTTCACGCTTGCGGTCCGCCAGCCGAAATGGCGTGCGGCGCGTAAAGCGCTGTTGTCGAGGCTGTGGTGTAGCTGCCACGGTACATTTGAGATTGCAGGGGGAAGGGCCAAACACTAATGCAAAATTATCTAATGTTAAGCAAGCTTTATCCAACATTCACGCTTTTATGGAGTCCATGTAACGCTTCAACTGAAACTGAATATTTTAAATACGCCATACCAAGCCAAGACTCCAGCGAAACGTGGCTACTGATATAGCCGCTTACCCTTCGACGTGAAGAAGTTCAAAATCTCTTCTTTGGTCGTTGACCATGGAAGGCCCCGAATGCGCAGAACGAACCCTTCGTCGTCCACGGGTGTTGACATTCTGTTCTGTAAGAATTCAGCATCCTTCGCTAGCAGAACACTGTGGGCAGCTACATGCAGTAGGCGCTGTGCCATGCTGCCTACCGGCCTACCACCACCACATGCAGTACGCGAACCGGGACGCCGCATATCTACGAAAGGGAATCGCTAAATATTTCGCTCACAAAAACCAATCAAATGAATCCCACAACAGCTCAAAAGTCCAAAAGTCAGCAGGGAGTTTTCGGATAGCGGCGGGAGCCCGCAAGCGGTTGATGGCGGGAGCCCACAAGCGGTTGATGGCGCGAGCCTGCAAGCGGTTAGCGTGCGACGCATGCACAGTGGCGCGAGACGCTCAGCCGCCAAGCCTTGCAATGGCGGAACGATTCCACGCGCGCGCGGCACCTAAGATCCAGCCAATAAGCAAGCATTACTATCAACAGCTGATATTGCAAAGTCATTTGCATCCCCCACGCACACTTCGATAAGAGGTTCCCCCGCTACCGCCATTTCAGCCGATATCGCCATTTCACCAATCGTCGCGACGAACAAAGAAGCCGTACCGGTAAGAGTAAGGCGCCGCGCCCAAAGCACACAACAGCGAAAACACAAATTTCACACACACCATAACGAGACCGACTCGTTACAGCTCTCAACACGCAGAAAAATGACACGGAATTCAGTACAAAAGCATGTGAGCACACGGGTGCGCTAGGCTTAACTAACACCGGCTCCTGCGCGATGCGCGAGGACGATTGGACGCATTCTCCATTGCTTGCTGGCTGAAGATTCTAACGTCCCTCCAAGCAGCACGCAATTCTTAACCAAAAGCGCCCCTGAATGTTAATTTAAAGTGAGAAACGGGCAAATAAAACAACTTAACATACACCTACGTTGGACAATGGCAGCAAGATCCAGAAAACAACGGCGACTACTACTACGTTGGCCGAGCAGGGCTTCGCTGGCTAGTCTGCAAGGGAGGGACCGCCTTTCCAAGCGCCAGAGAGGAGACGACCGTTGACACCGCTGACGAGGCAATCGCAAATGGTCGGACTATAGACAGCTATAGTGGGTTTTCTAGTGTCGTCAGAAAACACCTACTACTAACGATGTTAAAAGTTTATCATATTGCTTCTAGATGGCGCAGCCACTCGCTGGCGTGCTTTGTTCGCGCGCGTCAGCTCACGCTTTGACAAGTTTCTCGCGTTGAAACCCACTATTGAGGTTGCGATATAAGCATGTCGAGTTGATCACACATGCGCCGATAAATTGCACATAAGGAAAAAAGAAGTGTGGGGACTATCGGGCAGGCTAGCGTCTTCAGAGCGCCACATGCTGGCGCGCACAGAACATAGATGTAGGATGTTCGGTGTTCCAGTTCAATGATAATATGTTTCACACAGTCATGCTTGAGTTAAGGATGGACGACTCACAGACAATTATAGTGGTTAAATCAAGAACATAAAATACAACAAACAATCAAAATGCGCAAGGACAGATATTTTGGCACTAATAGAGAGTAAATAGTCCAAGAAAAAGAAATTGCATTTTATTTAAGCGAAGAGAAAGTAAAAGTAAGAATAAAAACAGTGAAACAAAATGTATATACATAAAGAGTCTAATTAAAATTTGTCGAGAAACAGACATCTGACGTGATCTTTTTATTGTGCGCGTGGCGCAGACATCCAGCATTCTATGGCCCGAAGGGGTATGCGGGTACACGTGACTGAGGAAAAGGATTCCACGACAGTACGGGACAAGAATATCATGTTAGCATTTCGTGACCTGCCAATCGAGTTCGTCATGTACTTACGTACTTATTTGATGATTTTTTTATTCATCCCAGGTTAAGGAGAAGTTACACTACGAGATCGTAGGACGTGGCGTAGGTGATACTATGCTAGACTTAGAAACACATCAAAGCGCGTTTGTTCGCAATTTGAGTGATTAAAAAAAGTGCTGCGCATTTAAAACTGCAATGCGGACAAAGATGTCTTGGCAACTTAAATTACGTTTACAGCGCAAAACACGTCGATCTGCTGAGGCCTGTATATGCGGATTTGTAAAGACTTTTACTATGGGTCCGCAAAAATAGAATTTTGACTGTCTCTCTCGTTGATCGGCCTACGGGAGAAACTAATGAGCATTCAAATCTTCCGCTAAAGTCTATGAATGGGCAGCATTTGTGAGACAATGATGCTGGGTTGCCATAGAATAAAAACCAATGCGCTTCACGCCAGGTACCCCCCCACCGTCAAAAAAAAAGAAAAAAAGATGAGACGATGTTTTCACTCGTCAACGCGCCAGCAACAGACAGCGCCGCCGGCGGTGCGTAAAATTTGGTTTCTCCGCGGCCGTTGGAGAAAGCGCGTGTTCACGACACTAAAAAAAAAAAAAACCTTTCAGGTGTGCGCCGGGACGTCGGCGCGCCGCCGCAACAGTTTCTTGTTGAGTGATCGACGCCAATCGTCGACGCGCCGCCGCCAATGTGTGTGTTTTTTTTTTTTGCAGCGTTTTCTGCGCCGCGCGGCGCAGCGCCATCCTCACACAAAAGTGGCTTCTGCACCGCACAGAAGTGTCGTCACATAAAAAAAATTATTACATAAGCTAGTTAATTGGTTAAATTATTCGTGCCTAATGCGTTAAACCTACAAAACTTTTACTAAGAAGGTGCTTATCGAGTCAATTAACTCAGGTTTGTTATTTAAATACATATTACAAGTATTTTGAATACAGGGGGCGCCATGGGCGCTGCGGCAGCGAAAGGTAAACACTGCGAGATAGTAGCCGCCTGCGGTATGTGATGGTGTCAACTCCGATGAAATCTGGCCATGGCCTAGGCCCACACTCCCAAGGAGGACTGGAGTGTCGTCGCTGCTTCATGTGACTGCTGGATGCTTAGTTGAACCTGGTGGTTGGAGCTAGCGCGGCCATCCCCCGCGCCGCAGCTTCATCTGAGTGTGTGCGCCATAAGTTTCTCAGTATGATGTGCGGATTACAGTCGTTGGACGTACTGCATTTTCTAGATTGCAATGCCAAGCGTGGTGTTGTCAAAGGAGAAAGTGTTCTTGCTGCCGAGTTTTGCTTGTCGCGAAGGACAAGGTCGACGATGAAATAAATGCTTTCGCACGGTTCACGTGTGACTGACCGGACGCACATGCATGAAACCCGAGTGCGTCGGCGAAGTGTTCATACGATGGATGGAAACACCTTTATTGTAATGTTCTCACGAAGCCTGTGATCTCCGAAGACCAGAGCTACTGCATTGCCCTCTGTTTTGTCAAGTGCGAACACGTACGGCCGTTCTCGTCCGTTGCTACGTGAATGCTCCCGTGCTGTCACAGGCCGCGCGTGTGTTTTTGAGCAACGCAGACAAGTAGTTAGATGGGCTAACGCCGTCATCACTTGCCCTTGGGCATTGTTTATGAAGTGCTGATCGCCGAGAACATTGCGGTGACACGTCAGTATTTTAAAGAAAGCGGCTTGCTGGTTACCCTCGTCAGGTGATGGTACACTGAGCGACATAAAAAAAGTTGCCCAAGACTACGTTGCAGTGCACCTTTCTGTCATCAAGACTTTGATAAACCGTGGAAATCAACATTCCTGACACCTGTGCTGAAGAAAACCAATGCAGCCAGCTGCATTCGAGTTTTTGTGGCTTTTTTGCGTCTCGCCGATTAAGAGCACTAATTCGCAAAGCACTGTATCATAATAAATATAGTCAATCCTGCAAGCGTCACCGAAGATCCAATATTAAAGGGCCTGTGGACGGGACCACCACCAGCAGCAAGTAGGGCTGATGAGGAGGCGCAAATGTTAAAACAATACATGCGTGAACAAAAAAAAAGAGAAAGTATCGATAACTGCATTGACACTTGAACCACCGACCTCACCAGCTCATGTGTTGCTTTAACCAACTACGCCACAACTGCCGATTGGTTTGAGAAGACAAACAAGCCTCTTTTGTATTGTTGTCACGCGAAACCTAAATAACATTTTTGTTCACTTTTTCGTTTGGACGTAACTTTAACGGCTTTTATTGTTATGTCTAGACGTACCGCTAGACACTCCCGACTATTCAAACAAAGCGCCTAACCAAAAAATGCAACACGTCACTTCCGTGCGGCGCAGCAGCCGTTTTCTGTGTGGGGGTGGCTTGTGCGCCGCGCGGTGCAGCAGTCTCTGCCTTTTTTTTTTTTTTTTGCGCGATCGGTGCGCTTATTTTTATGTACGATTAATTTTTTTTTAGTAAAACCTGCCTCTCTATGACACCTCATCTTCACCAGTAAATGACCGGCCCTTTTTCAATTCTACCTGCTGGGCAAACGCATCGTAATTGATTCGACTGCTAGTTCAAGTTAAACTGGACCAGAAAAAGCTTGTTCAGTGCTCCTACTAGCGCAGAAAGGTAGTACTGGACTCACAATAAAGGTTAATTTCAATATTGTCACGGGTTATAAATGACAGGGGGTTTATTTAAAACACGGACAGTAGGACTTGTAGAGACGCTCTCAGAGAAGGCCGCTAAGATTGTCGTCTTCTTCACTCTGCTGCACTGCGCCTCTCGAGCAAATCCGCGTTCTTCATTGTTGTCGCTATCTCGCCGCTAAATGCAGCTATGCACGCGGCAATATACTTTCGTAGTCACTGTAGTTGAGCAAATCCAGGTCGGTGATATCGCCAACGGTGGGTGTGGCGAGGACTACCAACACATTCTGGTGGATGATCAAGTTCATGTACTTACTCCCTGTAACACAATATGTATGAATAAAAGGTGTCGAGAGTCGGTATTAGAATGACAATCGATATGACCGTGAATGCGAGTCAAGGAAGAGAGGCAGTTTGAAAGGAAAAGAGCGGCGCTTTGATCTAATTAAAGCGCCTGCTCATGGACGCAATTGCTTACATTGCTCAACAGTCTGAACAAGCGAGAGCAGTTTGAGGCATATGTATTTAGAAAAAGACAGTTAGGTAACTGGAACACAGCTTTTATAGCAGAAAGAAAATAGAAAACACAACGAATGAAATATTCTTTATCAACCAAACGATCCAATCAGTAGAGTGGCAGGTTCAGCAAGGTCGACAATTGGACGAGATGGGGATCACCATAAACTTCGTGTCAAGTACTACACAGAACATGAATGTATGAGCACAAAACACTAAGGTGTGGGTGTACAATGTCTTTGTTTCCTGCAATTTATCAAGCACTCGAGAGACAATCAAACCGAGTAATGTTAGCCTTTACATCACCCGTTTTCTTTCTTGGACTAAATTCGACTAACTGGATCTAGATGCCGATTTATCACAATCATGTTTGACACAGCCCATCAGCGTAGCTTGCTGTGCGAGTTGCTTCAGAATATCCGGAAGGAAAAACCAGTGAAAGACACAACTACTGGAAAGGAGAACAACCAGACAGGACAAGGGCTGGACTTCACAAACACATTGTTTATTGCAGAAAGCCCACCTACACATAAACCAGGAACGCACGCATAATTAGGGTAACTGAGGCATTTCGCAGTTGCACACCTAACACTGCAAAGGTGTTAAGGTGTTACAAACAGCAAGTTTTCATGAAACACCAAATATCAACACCATGTGCACTTACTATATAGAAACGTGAATTCTTTATCTGCAAGGAAAAACTGAGGGATGATTTACACGTGACACTTTGCCATTTTTTGTTTTATTTTGGAGGTTTTAAAGAAACTTTAAGTTCAATTTTGTTTATTTCTTTAATTGTCAATGACACTCACTTATTTGAAATCAGGAGTGCAGAGCCTTTGCAGCACAGAGGTGAGTTTCCACCACTGTACCTGTAGGAAGTAGAATGCTGTGGTCACGTAGCCTGTCATTGATGCCGATCGGACGATCTGACCGCTGTGACACGGCCGCATATGACAAGGAAAAGTGGGAAGTTACGTACGCCTGCACTGCAAAGGCTGTAGCTGCGTCGCTCATTTGAAATCACTGTTTGAAAGCAAATGGATTAAGAAATGAGATTTAACACGAAAGTTGCGAAGACTTTCGAAATAA